ATCAAGCTTATTTCTAATGGGTTTTGTATTTCTTAGATTTTTTTGTTGTTTTAACTAAAATACAATTGAGTACAGAAAATTTTGGTCAACTTGAGGAGGAAAAACTCGCCAGAAAGCCTCTTTTGTATGAAGCCTTTATATGAATTCTTACTTTCAATGGGATTCCTGTTGCCTGGATACATCTGATTACTTACTCACTGAGCATGTTCCAGAGCTTTCCATCTATTTTTCATCAAATTTATTGCATTTTTTCTAGATTTTTCTGGTAAGTACAGATTTTCATCAATAGCTTTATGCTTTTTGTTTTTTGAAGCTACAGTTTGCTTTTAATTGATTGACTTATTGCCTAAAAGCAATTTTTACATCTAAGCCTTTTTAATATGGATTTGTGTTTGTTTTATAATATGGCTCCTGTACCTAGATTGAGCAAGGAAGACAGGGTGAGAGTCATTGTACTTAATTAAGAGGGAAACAGCTACAACAAAAAGGCTCAGAAAATGAAAGTTGCAAGATCTACAGTGCAGGCAATTGTGAAGAAACAGAGAAACTGGTAAAGTAAAGGACAGGGAGGGCAGAGGAAGGAAAATAAAGAACAGAGAAGGCAGAGTCAACATTAAAGAGGCTTTGAGAAACAAAAGACAAACATCAAATTCACTATCAAATGAGCTCAGAGTTACTTTCAACATTGAAGTTAGTGCAAGGACAGTCAGAAGACAACTTCTGGAAAGTGCTCTGAAGTCCTACAGAGCCAAGAAAAAGCCACTGTTGACTGACAAGGCAAGGAAGAAAAGGTTAGATTGGGCAGTTGAGCACAAGGATTATAACTAGAACAAAGTTGGTTTCCGTGATGAAAGAAGATTTTGTTTATTTGGTGACAGGCCTGTTTTGGTTCGAAGGAGGAAAGGAGAATACCTTCCTGAGCTATTTTGTTGCAGGTTTCCCTCTTCATGAAGTACAACAACTCTCACCCTGTCTTCCATGATCAATCTAGATACAGGAGCCATGTTCTAAAACAAACTTGTCCATATTAAAAAGGCCTAGACACACAAAAACTGTTTTTAGGTATAAGTCAATTAAAAGCAAACTATAGCTTCAAAGAATGAAAGGCATAAAGTTGTCGGTGAAAATCTGTACTTCCCAGAAAAATCCAGGAAAAATGCAATAAATTCAACAAAAAATAGATGGGAATCTCTGGAACGTGCTCAATGAGTAAATAATCAGATGTATCCAGGCACCAGGAATCCCACTGAAAGCAAGGCTTCATACAAAGGAGGCTTTCTGGCGAGTTTTTCCTCCTCAAGTTGAGTCAAAACAACAAAAAATCTAAAGAATATAAAACCTATTACAAATAAGCTTGATACATTTAAAATTCACATGATAATGAATTGTCAATCTTTCATCATATTATCTGGTTTGATTCAGTATTAACTGAGTTATTGGAGAGGTTATAAATTCATGATATCATTGCGGCCAATGCATTATTCCCTTTCATTGAATACACCTCAGGATATCTGATTTGGGATTTGAACTGCTCTTTCTATATATACCTTGTGCCCATGGGGTGTGTAAAACTTTGTTATCCTTATTCATGTATGAGTAGATAGGTAATGCCTATGGATGCTAGTAAACTCCTAGTTGCACAGTCCTTTTAGTGGGTCGTGTATTAGTCATTAGAGTGAACGTCTTGCAAGTTCCTTGCAATGGCGGTGGGGGTTCGAATCCCTGTTGGAGAGGTTACAAATTCATGATATCAATGCGGCCAGTGCATCATTCCATCTTTCATATATGTACATATATATAATCTTTTTTCTCTTTCTTTTTCCTATTCTTCAAACAAAGTAAGTAGATTTATTACCTGTTCCATGGCATCTACAACATTATTTCCTCCTGTCACCATCTCTTCCAGTGCTTCAAGTATCTTTGATGAATGACGGATTTACAGCAGGGTCTTCCTGCGGCCCAAGACACCTTAGAACTGTTGTCGATATACTGCAAAAGAATCAAAGACAAAATCTTATCAACACATTCCTTGCACTGTGTATCATTAACAGTCAAATGCCAAACAAATAAAATCCCCTCTGCCAATCATACAATTTCCTGTACTTTAAGACAATGGGACAAGTGTGCATATAATGTAAATATCTAAATTACCTTAGGAATGCTGCTACTTTCTTGGCACAGATTACTGGGTCTGTTGCCATTTCATCTTCAGGTGTTGAGCAACCAGACATTCCATCGACCAACTCCTGAAAAAAAATTAAAATCATACAATAGATTCATAGATAAATATAATACCTATACACAAAGCATATAAATGAAGTAGCATTTTTTACTATTTTTCATCACCTAAATGTAATCTCTTTTGCTTCCACTACCTTTAAACTGTCAATCTTCAAGTTATACTGATTCAACCCTTGCAGACTTTCATTTCTAGTTTGGTTACAAATTATCATAAAACACCATCACAGATTTCAATACCAAAGAAGACACATATGCACATACACATTCTCATTCAAAACAATAAGGTAAATAAAAACAACTACAAGCAGAATGATATGCAAAGAGATAACCTAGATATAAAACTACATGATTATTACATTACCTCAAAATCGTCCTCTATGTCATCGCCAAACTTGGAGAGAAGCGTTGTGGCTATAGGGACATGTGCCAGCCAGAGTTGCAGAAAGCTTCTCAGAGAAATGGCGACAAACCTCCTCTTTTCTGGTGAATGATGGTGGGCATTGTGCCATCCTACCAATTGCTTACAAATAATCTGCAATGGAAAACATGTGCAAAATGTAATGTATATAAATAAAATAAGTAGGTTTATTGATTCAATAAGGGGGGGGGAGAGAGAGAGAGAGAGAGAGAGAGAGAGAGAGAGAGAGAGAGAGAGAGAGAGAGAGAGAGAGAGAGAGAGAGAGAGAGAGAGAGAGAGAGAGAGAGAGAGAGAGAGAGAGAGAGAGAGAGAGAGAGAGGAGAGAGAGAGAGAGAGAGAGAGAGAGAGAGAGAGAGAGAGAGAGAGAGAGAGAGAGAGAGAGAGAGAGAGAGAGAGAGAGAGAGAGAGAGAGAGAGAGAGAGAGAGAGATTGCAGTAACAACAAAACAGTATTCAAGAAAAACTAATGAAATAACAAAAAAAAAAAAATGTAACCTACACTTATGTCTATACTGAGTATATTGCTTGATATTTATTTTTCTTAGCACTGCCATAATCTCTATCATCACCTCTGGAGTTTCTGTTCCCTCAATAGTCACTTGTAATTCTTCAATAATTCATTCTCCCACCTGAAATTAAAAATTAATAGATAAAGATGGATCCATACAAAAGGAGTACCACAAAATCTAGGACAATAAAATATTCGTTCTCAATAACACAACTACTTAGGTACAATAGCATTTACGAGTCCTCACTGCTGACAAGATGATGTCAGTGAATCTTGGTTGCAGTAATAAGAAACCACAAGAAAATGGAATGAGAAATGTGTACTGTATAACTGAGAAAATAAATTAGGCAGTTTTTCTTTAGTAAACTATGTGCAAGCTGCATGTGCAATAATTACCCTAGTCAGGTGAGATCCATCAGAATCTAAGCCAAGCATTTCCAAGATGCACCTTAACAGTAGAACCTTCATTTCTGCCACAAGCCAAGTATTTAGTCGATCAAAGGTAGCATCAAGGAATCTGAAGAATTAAGAAAATCATTACAAGACATGATCATTACCAAGAAAAAATGCATATACTGGTTTTATTATTTTTAACAATGTCCTTATCATACACGCATAAAATTCATAAATAATCAAAGAAAAATAACGGTCAGTAGTACCTGCTGTCATCTTTCATGATATGGCCAGCACAACCAACATAGCGTGTTATTTCTAACTGACAAGGGAGTGTTGGAGCTGCATACAGTAGTTAGAAAAGTGAGTCTAGCAGTAAGCCTGCATTTCGGACCATATACACCTCATTCAGACAAATATATTCCTGAGTATCAGAAAGAAAATACAGAAATGTTTTTATTTTGTACACCTCAAACCCTACATTAAATAAAAATAATGGATTAAATACGATAATACTAGTAGCATAAATATACATACATCAATCCACAGATAGTTTCCCCTGGAGTTTTAGTGTCCCACAAATATTTCTTGTATTAAGACTGCATTTTCAATACAAATATGCTTTTAGCTTTCTCTTTTATGTGAAAAAAGGATAGTTATTCAAGGAAGAAGAAAAAAAAAAAAAAACATCAAAACTGACAGGCAGCTCCTGGACTTGGGCAAGGCACCACTCTGAGTCCTCTCGAGAAAGTCTCCTTAGCTGCTTTGAAATTGATATTTCTCCCTCACAATCTGCAATATAATGAAACATCATATAATATAATAATATATATATATATATTATATATATATATATATATATATATATATATATATATATATATATATATATTATATATATATATTATATAGATGAGAGAGAGAGAGAGAGAGAGAGAGAGAGAGAGAGAGAGAGAGAGAGAGAGGAGAGAGAGAGAGAGAGAGAGAGAGAGAGAGAGAGAGAGAGAGAGAGAGAGAGAAAGAGAGAGAGAGAGAGAGAGAGGAAGGGAGGGAGGAAGGGAGGAGGAAGGGAGGGAAGGAGGGAAGGAGGGAAGGAGGAGGGGGGAAGGAGGGAGGGAGGGAGGGGGGAGGGAGGGAGGGAGGGAGGGAGGGGAGGGAGGGAGGGAGGGAGGGAGGAGGGAGGGGAGGGAGGGAAGGAGAGAAGGAGGGAAGAGAGGGAAGGAGGGAGGGAAGGGAGGGAGAGGGAGGGAGGGAGGGGAGGGAGGGGAGGGAGAGAGAGAAGAGAAGAGAGAAAGAGAGAGAGAGAGAGAGAGAGAAGAGAGGAGAGAGAGAGAGAGAGAGAGAGAGAGAGAGAGAGAGAGAGAGAGAGAGAGAGAGAGAGGAAGGAGGGAGGGGATGAGGGAGAGGGGAGAGGGGGAGGGAGGGAGGGGGGAGGGGGGAGGGAGGGAGGGAGGGAGGGAGAGGAGAGAGAGGGAGGAGGGAGGGAGGGGAGGGAGGGAGGGAGGAGAGAGAGGAGAGAGAGAGAGAGAGAGAGAGAGAGAGAGAGAGAGAGAGAGAGAGAGAGAGAGAGAGAGAGAGAAGAGAGAGAGAGTCAGAGAGTAGTCAGAGGACCTGGAGGCCACGCCCTGTTCTACCCAAAGCAGCGGGTCAACTAGCCACCAATCGTTCGTGACCCTTGACCTGCCCTACAAAACCATGGCACTTCGACCTCGGTCACTACCTCACCCAGACGGCTCCCCTCTAGGGGTCCCCCACGCACGTCCGCTCGGCACCTCCTGGGCGCCCTTTGCCAGGGCCTTGCACTAGCACCTCAACGAATAAAGGAACCGAAGCAGAACTGTCTCCATACCCACCAAAGTCAGGGGAAACCCAAGCCCTGACAAAGTAGTGGCAGACGGTGGATGTCGCTCTAACCAGCTGCGACAAGAACTGCAGGTCTCCTTCAAGACGCACCCGCAGGATCACCTCCTCTTCACCAAAAAATTTATGCATGGGCATTTCTTTTCTTTCTTCTCTTCTTCTCATGACGCGCATTGGCCTAACGGAAAGCATTTGCATGGACACGTTTAGATATTTGGAAAAAAAAATCACTACGTTGCAAAAATCGTACGGCATGCGCACATGAGAGAGAGAAAGAAAAGAAAAGAAATGCCCATGCCATAACAATTTTTTGGGTGAGAGGAGGTGATCCTGCGGATGCATCTTGAAAGGAGACCTGCAGTTCTTGTCGCAGCTGGTTAGAGCGACATCCACCGTCTGCCACTACTTTGTCAGGGCTTGGGTTTCCCTGACTTTGGTGGTATGGAGACAGTTTCTGCTTCGGTTCCTTTATTCGTTGAGGTGCTAGTGCAAGCCCTGGCAAAGGGCGCCCAGGAGGTGCCGAGCGGGGGCGTGCGTGGGGGGACCCCTAGAGGGAGCGTCTGGGTGAGTAGTGACCCGAGGTCGAGTGCCATGGTTTTGTAGGGCAGGTCAAGGGTCACGAACGTTGGGTGGCTAGTTTACCCTGCTGCTTTGGTAGAACAGGGCTGGCTCCAGGATCCTCTGACTACTCTCTGATCTCTCTCTCTCTCTCTCTCTCTCTCTCTCATCTCTCTTCTCTCTTCTCTCTCTCTCTCTCTCTCTCTCTCTCTTCTCTCTCCCTCCCTTCCCTCTCCCGGTCAGTGAAGCCTAAGAGGAGGGAGGCAGGAGGACTGCCGTCCGGTTCCCTCCTCCTCCCTCGTCTGGTAAGACCCTCTCCCTCTCCTCTCTCGTCTCTCTCTCTCTCTCGTCTCTCTCTCTCTCTCTCTCTCTCTCTCTCCTCTTCTCTCTCTCTCTCTCTCTCTCTCTCTCTCTTTCTCTCTCTCTCTGCTCTCTCTCCTCTTCCCTCCCTCCTCCTCCCTCCTCCCTCTCCCTCCTCCCTCTCCCCTCCTTCTCCTCTCTCCCTTCTCTCCTTCCCTCCCTCCTCCCTCCTCCTTCCTCCCTTCCCTCCCCTCTCTCCCTCCCTCTCCCTCCTCCCTCCTCCTTCCCTCCTCCTTCCCTCCCCCTCCTCCCTCCTTCTCCTTCCGTCTCTCCCTCCCTCCTCTCTCTCCTCTCTGCTCTCTCCTCTCTCTCTCTTCTCTCTCTCTCTCTCCTCTCTCTCTCTCTCTCTCTCTCTCTCTTCTCTCTCTCTCTCTTCTCGTCCTCTCTCTCTCTCTTCTTCTCTCTCTCTCTCTCTCTCTCTATATATATATATATATAGTATATATATATATATATATATATATATATATATATATATTATATATATATAATATATATATTATAAATATATATATATATTTATTTATTTATATGTACTC